ATTTGAAGGTTTGCATATACTGCGATAAAAATTTGGGGCTCTGACAAGCTTTTCATGACTAGCTGAGACAATATGCAAGATAAATTCCAATGGGTTTACAGATGTATGTTTCATATCATATGCTACCAAAGTAAGCCTTATATCGCTTCCAATAGATGCGAGATTTCCACAAGTCGATAAAAGTTGCCCAGTTTTGGGATCCACTTTAAAGCATTGCTTAGATAAGCTTGATGCTCCCAATTGTATATTGACGCTATCACTACTATCGCGATCTGCATCCTCAGCAGAGTAGCGACCAAGGTTGAAGCCCATCGCACTCTCAGCGTCTTCTACGTATTTAGATGTTTGTACCAGCCATGCCTCACATGATTCTTCAACGAATTGAGGGGCAAATTCATTGACATCAACAAGTTGTATAGAGAACGTAGCAATAGTGCTCCGAGGGAGAGGAAAGCCGAAATCAGAAACTTTTACGAACAGAATAAAAACAGGAGGCATAGTTTCTGCATCTAGTTGGCGACTAATGCGAAGTGAATCTTTGAATTTCGGATCAAACTCGAAAGGCAATTTTTCAGCACCCAAAAGGTCAAAAGTAAGTTGGGTGGCTGACAAATCAGGATCAAAAGCATCAACTTTGAATATTATCTGTCCAATCGGAGTATCTTCAGGTATATCAAAACGGGAATTATTGTTGACTACTATCGGATCATTGTCATTAATATCTAAAATATCCACGACGAGTCTAGATTCCGCAATACTGCTCACGAGAAAATTATTCTGATCTGCAACAGTAAATGGCAGTATCACTGTAGCATAATCTTTAGGATGAGATGAAATAGATGCCAAACCATCAATGTCGATAATTTCGTTTATAATGACAGCTCCTGTTTGAGAAATGAATATTCCACGTGTTACATGATCAGAAGGGCCTTTGAAAATAAAGCTTGAATTCGAAACAGGAAAAGAGAGAGAGGGAAGGATGATAAAAATCGTGGTATTTAAGATAGAGTTCTCGGTTATTTTTAAGTAAATTTCTGGAGGAAGATGAAGTTTGAATGCCGATTGATCAATAACAGGCAATTCTATACGAAAACTGCTAGACCTCGCTATAGAAGAAGAGTTTCCTGAGACATGATACAAGTCAAAATCGGCCCCGCAGTCCATCGCCTCGACAGTAAGTGATATATTAGTAGAAATCGATACGAATGGAAGGGGATGCCGAGCTCTCAGAAGAAATTCAAAAGGATTAGAAGACCTATACAAATCAAAAGAAGCTCTAGTAGAAGGTTCTTTTATACGTAAATTAATTCCCATGGGATTTTGGTTTGTATCCGCGTCAGAAACAGAAATCCGAGCAAATATAGATGGATCACTAGTTCTATGATGAGCCTTTAATGGAATTACATGGATTCGAGGAGGATATAAATTTAATTGTTTGATATGAATATAGACTTTCGCCTTGCTAACCAAATCACAGGATACTTGTTGCGTGTCACCTCGGTGGGTAGCCAGCACAGTAAAGCTGTAAAACGAAAGGATGTTTGGTGATAGCTCGTCAGAAAATTGTGGCCTGATGAGCAAAGATGAAGTAGGATAAAGTTTCCCTGATCTTGGTTCTATGCGAAAAGGAAGTTCATGTAAATCAGGTTCAAAAAAGTAAAATATCTGTGAGTTTATCCCGGAATCTGCATCATTTGCATGGACGGATCCTATCTCAGTGTAGATGGAAGCGTTTTCATATATTTCAAGCTTGTATTCTTTGGAGCTAAAGAATGGACAGTTATCATTTTTGTCTAAAATGCTCACTAAGACGCGAGTGGAGTTTTTGAAACGAAGAGTAGGCTCGACGTTAACAGATGTAAAGTGTGCTTCTA